AAAAAAAAAAAAAAAAAAAAAAAAAAAAAAAAACTGCACGTATCCCACTTGTCTTGCAAGCCCGTCAAATGCTCACACCGAAAAATTTTCTTGAATAAATTTGGATCGCAATTAGCAAAAAGGAACCAGCGTGATTGCCGTGTTATAAAAACGTTGCATCTTCATAATTATTTAAAAAACTTCTCAGGATAGCACATTGTCTTTCCTTCCCATCAGAAAATTTTTAATTTTAGAGAAAAGTAATGGTGTAAATTTAAACACTGAACCATATATTAAGTCTTTCTAGAAGGAAAGTTGCACAATTTTGAAAACACTGTAATCGCGCTGGTTCCGTTTTGCTAAATGCGATCCATTTATACTAAATCAGAAATGGACCACCAGACAAGGTACGAATTGAAGGATTCTGATACATGTTACTTAATCAGAATTTCACGTAGAACACGATTCGCGCAACTAAAATTACTGAAACTGACTCCTAACGAAGATATTAACGTTTTTATTTCGCATTGGTTACGAGAATTTGAACTGCCCGCTCACAAGAAACTCAATGCTTTACGTGAGTCAAATCGCACACTGCAACGGTTTCAGCGAGCATCTCAATCGAGCAGTGTTCATTTCCCACCATGTGTTGTTCAAACTATAAGCAATTTGCTATAGCTGAACCAAAGCGTCAAGATTAAGGTTGCCAGATTTTTATATCGCAGAGACAGTCATCATGATAAACGTTTAGCGCACGATGTGAATCACGCAGAGCATTGAGTTTTCATGGGCGGGTGGTTTGAATTCACGCATCAAGAATCGTTAAATATCTTCGTCAGGAGTTGATTTCGGTCATTTTCGTTGTGCGCATCGTGTTCTGCGTGAAACTTTGGTTAAGAAAAATGTATCAGAATGCTAAAATTCGTACCTTGTCTAGTGGTCCATTCAAGGTTTTGAGAGGAAAGAAGAATGCTCACCCGACATGACATCTAGATCCAGTCTCCTGAGTTCTGAGTGGAGCACGACAATGAACCATGTGAGAGCGACCAGCCAACATAGAAGCGCTCCAGAAATGAAGATCAAACTCACAATCCGCCCGGCCCACCAACATTCTAGACCATGGCTGGACATTTTTGAAGATGATCCTTTGGTTGCCCTCCTGGGAAAAGAAAGAAAACAGCATCTCAATCACAATTTCTGAAGATACATCACTGGAGAGGACTTGCCAGGCTAAGTACATCGAAAAAAAAGTGACGTTGATTTAACATTCTGGATGTAAAAATAGTGTGCGAGAACTGATAAAATGCTGAATTATCTGCTACAGCAGTTATTTTAGCAATGCCTAGATGTAAATCTAACTGCTGCGGCGGCTAATTCAGCATTTTACAAGTTCTCGCACACTTTTTTTACATCCAGAATGTTAACTCAACTTCACCTTTTTTTCGGTATAGGAAGTCTCACTCATATATCGACGATGAAACTACCAAACCACGTATCTCGTTTGTGGTGTTTAAAAATCTACGCTCGCATTTTATTTTTTTGAAATAGACCAAATCAATATCATTCCTTGAAATTTTCACAGAATTTTCTCCGCACGAAGAGAAAAAATCACAGAAATTTTCAAGACTGGACGTTAAGTAGTTTTTCATTTAAAAAATAAAGAATGACAGGAAGTCTGCGACGTCGCAAACCGAGATACGTGATTTGGTAGTTTCACCGTCGATATCTAAAAAGATTCATGAATGCAAGCGGACTATACTGCCGTGCTAAGGAAGAACATCGTATGAACATTTGAGAGTCGTCAAATTTCCTCGAATAAGACATGTATTTGTTAGGAAAGTTTAACATAGCTGTCCCTGAAATTTTCAGAAAATGTAGATTAAATCGCGTGCAAAATTGTGAGAAACATTTGGAAAAAAAAAATTCAACATTGTCCCGGTAAATTTGACTTTCATTGAAGGAAAATGGCAACATCTGAAGGCTCATACGGAGTTGTTGGTTGGCACGACAGTAAAGTTTAATAAGTAACATCTGAGGTCATATTTAGGGCGAGTGCGGATTTATACGAGCGTCTTCAAACGCATCATTACTCAATCCAAAAAAGTTCAGTCCGTCTGGGGCATGTGCATGTTATTTCTGAATTTTTTTTTCCTACAAGATTTCCTAGCACTTCTTTTCTACTCGTTTTTTGTCCCATTACATTTAGTAAAACGAGTAACGTGTCCTACTGGTTTCTTCCTTAGGAAATTTTTCCTAGGAGTGCAAAATTTGTCCGATCATGCGACCCGCGGTTTGCGTGATCTGTGAGGAAGTAATTGGGAAAATGAGGACATTTTTTACAAAAATGACACCGAAAATTTCTTTAGAAAATATTCCAACGATCTATAAATCTTTTTGATTTTTCAGGAGACGTTTTGAGAATTCCAGACGACTATTACGCGGCGTTCTTTTTTTCGTTTACTGTGCAAAAGAAAATTGCCGAGCAGTAGTTAGAGGCGCGCTAGAAAAAAGTTGTTGGAATGAGCAATTTTTTGGAAAGTGAGGAAATTCTTGTCAGAACAAAAAAGGGCGCAAAAAATAAAGCTCCGGCGATATTCCGACGACACACGGATCTTTTTGACTTTTCTGACTGCGTCCGTTGAAAAAAAATTTCCTCATTCCAGGGAAAAAATTTCACTGAGGGAGGGAACACATCTGTGGATCGCATGAAATGTGAGGAATTACACCCACGTAAGGAAATAAAAGTGAGGAGCAAAATAAAATAAGAAAAAAAGGTAATCACTTGAATCATTACAGAAAAAGAGGAAAAAATTACCGATCGCGTACCTGAAGCGTGCACTTTTTGCACCCCCGTCTCAGTATCGCAGCGGCACCACATACGCGATTTCTTCCAGCGGTTTTTTAGAAACCAAAAAATGAATACATTCTTAACCTCAATATCGCGGCGAACACGCAATTTTTCCAACGGATTTCAAAAATAGAAATACGTAAGAAAAACTACACATTTTTCCATAAATATCGCGGTATTCATAAACATCAACATTTTCAGACAGGCGAAAACCCAAGATAAACTTCATTTTCGCGTGATACCACATACCTATCGTACTTCGAAGTACGAGTAACTGCGCGCTTAATTTCCACATTCAAGGATGCGGGCATAATACCTACATTCATGGAAATCCCTTACTCGAAACAGACAAAAACCTAAAGTTTTCCTTCATTTTCGCGTGATACCAAACGGCTACTCCGGAGTTCGAAAAGTTGCGTGCTTGGTTTCCGCTTTAACCAGTGTTGAGGGAATAATTAAAAAAATAAGTGATTTTTCCAGCGGATTTGTAAACACATGATAAATCATACGGCATTTTTATCTCGATATCGCGGCGTATAGATACGCGATTTTTCCAGGCAACTTAGAAAGAAAGAGAGAAATTGCGCGTTTTTCACCTCAAAATCGCGATTTTTCCGGTGGTTGTACATACACATAAGTAGGGAAGCAATTGCTACTTGCAAGTCAGTATCGCAATTTTTCAGCGGATTTATAGGAACAAAATGATCTACACATTATGCCATGAACATTGCGGCAGACTTAAACGTCAGTATTTTGACATTATTTATGGCACTTATTTGTGCTGATTAATTGTGTCATTATTTACTTCATTTCGCATGATGCCACATGACTACTTAAATATTCCGGAGTTCAAATACTTTCACGCTCGGGGTCTGCTTTGACCAATGTTAATTCATGAATTGTTTCTAGGTATACAAATTTCCGTGAATATTAAAAAATACGTAATTTTTCCAGCGGGTTTGTAAGAACATGAGAAATTATACATGATTTTCATCTCGGTTTTTTTCCTAATTTTAATTAAAAGAAATTACAAACCCCACTAGTTAAAGTTGTTGCCGCATGCTCGCAAGTATTCGAGAGGGTGCAGTTTTAGATTGTGAGCCTCCTGCATTATTGCACCTAATGAGGAAATTTCACTTTCCGTTCCAAAGAGCCCCCACTTTACTATTTTTCAGATATCCTTTTGTGCCTCTCTTGACTCTCTGAATAGGTGATAGAGGGAAGGAATGGTGCTTCCCCTCCCCACTATACTTATTATTGTATCCGCAATGCCCCCCCCTCCCCCCTTAAAATCGATCATTTTTGGCTTATTATATACAGAGCTGCAGTGTACTAATTCCATATTTGGGTACTCCAAACTCTACCATTTTAACATTCTTCAAAATTTAGATATTACTTACAACTGAAAATTATGAATTAAATCATGAGAAAAGAAAGTTTTAAAATATGGAGGTTAAAATAGTGAGGAGTCTCCTAGATATTGTTGCAAAGTTAGGTCAAGAATGATCCTCTCTGCTCTACTTGTGTCCAAGTATCAATTACAGCTCAGACAAATCGACGGTGAAAGTCGGCAATCACATAACTCGTTTGCGGTGTCTGAGAATCTCCGCCTCTACGTAATTTTTTTAAAGGAGAACAAATTGACATTATTTCTTGAGGTTTTTGCAGAATTTTCTTCGCATTTAGAAGAAAAATTATGACAGTTTTAAAGAATTGCCGTTGAGTAGTTTTCCGTTTAAAAAATGAAGTATGACAGAATTTCTGCGACGTCGCAAACCGAGTTATGAGATTGCCGACCTACACCGTCGAAATACTCTTAGGCAAAATGCCAGTGGAAAATCCTACTCAAAAAACTAATTGATATGGGATGATAAACAAGAAGGAAAAAAGTATTAAGAAAATTTGTGATAGGAAAAGAACATTTTGGACACATGAGTCGCTTCATGCAAAATCGTCCTCCATCCAATACAGTGTTTCAGAATTCAAGAGAACGGTTTTGTTGTAGAGTACGGGCACAAAATGGCTTCAGTAAGATGTTAAGAGTGTACAACAATTTTATAAAAAAAAATCCCCTAAGTATAATTAAACGTTTACTAAAGAGATCAATCTCATTCAGCAGTGTCATAGGGCACAAGAAACCAATGCAATTATGAAACCCTGTATAAGACGATGGACGTTTTTTCACAAGTCAATTTAAATGACCTAGCACCCAGTCTATATGCACCTTCTGTGCTCAAGAATAGCAAAATATAAAAATAATTGTAAATAAAGGGTTGTAAACTTTAGGATGTTGTTTGAACAAAGTATGATTTCAGAACCATAAACTTACCTGCGATACTTTTTTCTCCTCGGGGCTTGCAGAACAATTTCTGAGAACTCTAGGTTAGTGTCACTGTCAGTTTCTGTCATGTGTAACAGTTCGTATGAATTAGGGTGATCTTTCTCCATTTGAAGAGGGTGAAAGACAACTTTATATTCATTGCTACCAATTATCGACGAAGGAACATGTTTGAGCCTTCAGAAGGCCAGCACTTCATGGTCACATGATGAAATTCAATACAGCTAACTTTGGTTAAAAGGTGAATGACGCTTTCATTCAGTACCTTCATGCCACACACTTAACACTTCCTTAGAGACCATTCATAGAAATAAATTGCACATAATATGAAGAAAGGAATTGGGAGAGTGCTTAATTCATTCCTTCTTGCAGGAGATATTAGTTCATCAGTTTAGGAGATACAATGATTCAATTGGTTTTATATTACACAACGTTAATGCACTGAGACTGGTTCATCTTACGTTCAGGGACCGATTCCGATGTGTCATATGGGAATAAATAATGGGAGGTTTGAAATTAATTGAATAATCAGCTTGCTTCATAATAATAATATTGAGTATAGTCACTTGGTCTACTAGACTGGTTTAACTTAGGAAACCGTATTTTACGCACATTTAAACACTTCACAGCCTGCTGTCATGAAACGATATACAGTGCAACGCTAGGATTAAGAAATAAGGCAATTAACTGGCAAGAATACATGAAATACAGAATTACTGCAATCGTTTTTCATGGCACTTTTTCACTTTTACCCACTTAACCTCCTGATACACATGAGGTCATAGAGAAAGCACAGGTGCGATGGCGAGGTAGCAACCTTGGTGATTGTGTCGTGACGTTGACATGCACGTCGGTCCATCAGCCAATGAGAATGAAGCTAAAGCAAGGCGTAAACACAACTTCACGCCACACATGATCCAACTCGGTCACTACGGACGATATTAAAACTACAATGGCTGATTTCCTATTTTCTCTGCCAACTATAGCGCTAGCTACAAGCGCCCTCTGATTCCATGAAGATAAACTACTTACTTTTTACCGCGCGTTTTCCAAATTAATGCTCTTTATGAAAAACCACGGGCGGAAATGAAGGGGGCGGCCAGAAGGCCTGCGCCCTCCCAGATATCTACTTAGACCCTCCCAAGAAATGTGAGGATTTTGCAAAAAAAAAAAAAAAAAAAAAAAAAAATCTAGATGAAAGGTTTTTTTTAGATTTTTTGGATCTAGGAAATAGTAATTGGATCAATTTTTCGAAATTTTTCGGGGAGGCTCTGCAAACCCCTCTTATAAGCTAGGGAAGTCCCTCGAACTTCCCTTCTGACTAGGGGAGTCCCGCAGATTCCTCTTATTAGAGATGTCTTTTAGTAACCCCTCCCAGACCCCCCTTGATGAGGCAGTGAGGCACTCCTCTGCCACCGGCAACCCCCCCCCCCCCCCCCAAACAAGTTCCTAGTTCCGGCCATGAATTTTACGAAGTAAATTACCTGCATGCAGTACTGTTTCGAGGGTAGGTAGAGCTATAGGCGGAACCAGACACCTCGGACGGGGGGCTGGAAGGGGGGGTCCGGGGGCCTTCCTCAGAAAATTGTTGAAGCATCGATTTGTCGTTTGAGTCAATTTCGTCATGAATAATTACCCCCTCATCAATTACATTTTCCCCTCCTCTTTCCTCCATTTCTTCCTTCTCTTCTTCTTCCCCCTTTTTTACGGGCGAACGGGAGGATGGCGTACGCCCCTTACGCCCCTCCTCCCTTGGATCCTCCGTTGGGTAGAGCGACAGGAGAGACGGAACCAGACGCCATATTGCCGAAACAAAGGCAGCGAAATGAAAAAAAGCGGGGAGAGGAAGAAATATTAAGGGGAAAGGAAATGGTAGAAGAAGGAAGAAATAGGACAAGAAAAAAGAAGCAGCTGGAACAAAGAGGAAGAAAACTAGGGGGAAAAGAGAAAAAAGGGGATAGAGGGGTAGGGAAAATGGGGAGGGAGATGAAAAGGCATTGATAAGGGGCAAAAGACGCCTCTGTATGTAGGAAATCACTCTTTGAAGCTTAATTTTCAAATACAAAGGCGCTATTTGGTGGCGTGGCGTTTCGCGTCTCCCGTCGAAAAAAAGGCGCTCTTGTTGGCTCTAACAAGAGGATTATTCAAAGACGGCGCAGCTCGGCGGCGGCGCTCGGCCGCAGAGGCCGATTTATAGTTGCATCCAAGCCAAAAAGCAAATCAAGAGTGTGGCAGCGTAAATTAGTTTGTAATGTGGTTGCTTTAGATCATTTATTGATAAAGAGTGTCGCTGCGTAAAAAACGCCTTCATTGTGAGAAGATACTTCCTAGCGTGGCCGCGGAGGCCGAATAGTTGCATCATTCAAAACACCAATCAACCTTATATCAGTGTGAATGAGCGAGTAATACGGCTGCTTCAGATCATTGGTTGATGAAGAGTGTCGCCGCATGAAAAACGCCTTCATTGTGGGAAGATACTACCTGGCGTGGCCGCGGAGGCCGAATAGTTGCATCATCAATAAGCCAATCAATAGTGTAGCAGCGTATTAGCAAATGGCAACTATGTGAACCTAGTCACCCTTTGATAAAGTACGAATTTACCAGGAAAGTTGTGAATATGTCTTCCGATTTATTTTTCGGACAATATTGTTCACTCTTAAATCTGAATATCTGAAAATTTCAAGCAAAAATATGCATAACTTTCTTCCGAAATGAGCATTTTATCGGAGGAAATTTGGCAACTCTTGAATGTTCATGCCGCGTTTTCCCTTCACACGGCAGAATACACGTCTGTCATGGCGTCCTAACAAAGTCGGTCTTCTTCGCATCTTCCTTTCTTTTCTCAACGGCTTCAGGGCAACATCAACAGTATTAACATTGATGAAGAGTGTCGCCGCATAAAGAACGCCTTCATTGTGGAAAGATACTTCCTAGCGTGGCCGCGGCGGCCGAATAGTTGCATCCTCTAGAAAGCCAACAAACAGTGCAATGTAGAAGCAAAGACGCATAGGTTAGCGACCCTCATTGCGATAAGAGGATTCGTGAGTAATGCGGTTAAATGTTTTGTCATGACATCGAATGCTATGTCATTTTCATGAGACGCGTATGACAACGAATCTTGTCACTTTTAGGAACTCTCGCAGACCTCCACTAGAGTTCCATCTCTATTGCTCTTAGCATATTCTGTGTCCGCTCCTTTCGGCTATATAAATATCAGTATCATTAATAGGACATAAGTACATTCAAGATTTGCAGATCTTCATGACCATTGGCGGATCCAGCAATTTGGCAACACCGGATTTTCTCCATATAAACCTATGGAAATGTATCGATTCTTGGAGGGGCCAGGTGCTCCGACGAGAATCGATTATTTAGCGTAGGTTTAAATGGAGTAAATTCGGTGTTGCCAAGTTGCTGGATCCGCCTCTGTTCATGACGTCACCGTAAACCATCCGAGGCGACCCTCGGATTTTAAAGACTGGAAATTTTTTCCGGAAACGGTTTTATGTTCTATGTATATAACCTTAGACACCTCCTGATGACAATGCTGCCGTATTCGAGAGTTGCCAAATTTCCTTCGATTAAATGTTCATTTTTGAGGCAAATTAAGAATATTGTTCCTTGAAATTTTCAAAAGTCTTAGATCAAATTACGAACAAAATTATCTGAGAATAATTGATAGACAAATATTCAAAAAATGTCCTAAAAATCAGTGATTTGCCAGGGGAAATTTGGCAACGCCTGAAGGTTCAAACGGCGTTTTTCCTCAGCACGGCAAAATGCAGCATCTGAGCGATTACACGTTCCCAAGTGCATCCGGTTCATAATAACTGAACTACATTTTGCAATCATTAGGAACTACAACTTTTGGTTCATCTGTAAAAACACTTAAGTCCAATTGGAAACAAATGATACATATGTTGTTTCTAAACTGAGGCAGAAAATTGTAATTCCTGTTCGCAAAAGCAAGTCTAATTGTCTTCATATTCTTCAATTTTTTAATACTGGATGTACTCCACTTCCAGAACTCTTCTCACTGTGCACAATTTCTCATGCAATCACTACGCACTGCTTGCGTAAAAATTAAAAGTTACGCACGCACGTTACACTCTTTGCAAGCCAGTTAGGTTCAAATTACGTTGCTTTTTTCTGTGCTCTCCGTGTAAAAATGTTGAAAGAAAAGTTCTATAAGTTTTAAGGTGTTGAGTTTTAAGGTTATTAAGATGTCCCTGGTAAAAATTGGCAGTAGAATGTGTGTTCCAAAATACCATAGACCTATAATGCCGGCTGTAAGATTTCCAAAAGCTTCTGTAGCCCACTGTACAATTTCTTTTGGCCTTTTATAGCCGATGGCGACTAAGCAACAGCCGAACGATAAAGTTTATGCTAAACGTTACTAAATACGGATACTAGGACTTAACTAGTTTTTGGACCACCGCTCTCTTTTTGTGCCGTAGTATCTTGATATATTTTGCGAGGAATGTTCCGTACTTTTGAAGGATGCCTGTCATTCTTAATATGTTGGAGCGCCTTCAATTTCTTATGATACTGTGCAATACCTCTGGTGTGAAATAGTTGCTTCAGACGCCGTGGCACGCTGCGGCGCGGCGGGCGGGCAGAGAGCGCGAAACGCGCATTAGCGCCTACAAACCTAACAGGGATACTTCACGCATTGCGCAATGCGTGACGTATCCCTGTTAGGTTTGTAGGCGCCAGTGCGTCGCCGCGCCGCTCCGCTTTGTGTTACGCTCTAATATTTCGTCGTGCGGAGTCAGCGTTTTTCAACTCATGATTTTGAAATGTTTCCACACTCTGCATGGATAATTCTTATTTTAATTGATGAAAAAAAAATATGTTTTAAAGGAAAATATAATGTGTGTTTTGTAAATATTTAGGTAGTTCCGTATGAAACTTAATTATTTCCAAAGCACACGAATTTCTACACAATTTCTCATAGCCTTTTATAGCCAATGGCGATAAAGTGTAAAGCCCGGCGATAGGAACTTTGCCCGACTGTATACTTTTTTATAGCTTCGTATAGCCCGGCTATATGATTTGCTCCGCTTTCTACAGCCAGCTATATGATTTTCAATAGCCTTGTTTATAGTCGGCTGTAAGAACTCCTATGGTATTTTGAAACGCAGCTCCCTATCGCCAATTTTTACCACCGTGCCGCTCGCATATTCTTGCTTTTTTACTTTCTCGCTCCCATAGTTTATCTTTTCATCGTATCCGAGTACATTTACAAAAAAAATTCTTAGACTGTTCCTTCAATTGTTGTCAAGCGTTTCTGCATATCGATGGTGAAACTATAGCAATGCGCACTTCGGGTTGCGGCGTTGCAGACTTCCTGCCACACTTCATTTTCTACATGGGTAACTACTGAACGTCATTTTTTGAAAATTTCAGGGATTTTTCTTTTCTTTCCAAATAATATGCTGTGAAAACTTCAAGCTATAATGTTGGTTTGGTCTCCTTTTAGAAAATGATATAGGAGCGGAAATTTCGAAACACCGAAACTGAGATACGCATTTTTATGTAGTTTCACCGTCGATATCCTGTCATGCTAAGGGAAAACGCCGTATGAACCTTCAGGCGTTGCCAAATTTCCATCTATAAAACACGAATTTCGTGGTTAACTTATGAATGAATATTTTTCCTCCAATTTTTCAGATAATATTGTTTGCAATTTCACCTGAAGTTCCTCAAAATTTCAAGGAAAAATATTCATAACTTTCCTCAAAAATAAACATTTTATTGAAGGAAATTTGGCAACTCTCAAATGTT